TTTTTTTATTTTTTTATTTTTTTATTTTTTTTTCAATTTAATTTATTTGTTTATTTAATTTATTTTTTTAATATATACAAGTTTACTATAATGAGTGACTTGTAGTGATAAATAGGTAAGTAATACAAAATAAAGATGTTGTATAATGTTAAACTAAAATCTACATAGAGTTTAGTTAAAGTCTGCAAAAATCTGCTTATGCATATATATATAGTTATCATTGTTATACAAATTTTTATTGTCTGCTTTCTGATGAGTTCCTATAGTAATCTTGACTATAACAGTAACTATGAACACTATAATGACTATGACTATGATAATAACTATGACTATAACTATGATAATAACTATGACTATGACTATAATAATGACTATAATCATGACCATGATAATAACTATGATCATAATATTGACTATGACTATGATAATGAAGTTATCAAAAAATGAAGTTCAGGGAGTGAGATGTAGAATTTCTTTGAAAAAGTCACATATAAAAAAGAAATAAAAACAGCTAAATATACTATTTAAAACTGCAACCACAAGGAATTTTCTTGTAGAAGTAAAGGTACAACTTGACTATTATAGTAGCACTTAGAATCTACTCATTGGAGGCTATATATTTTAACAGAACAATAAATTGAAAAAAAAAATAAAAAAATAAAAAAATAAAAAAAATTAAAATAAAAAAAAAATTAAAAAAAATTAAAAAAAATAAAAATAAAAAATAAATAAAAAAAAATAAAAAAAAATAAAAAAATAAGTTTATAGAGTAAAAGTTCTAGGACCACTTACATTTTATCATATTAACTAAACTACTAATTTAATCAATTTATTATTTCTAATTAAATAGCATAATTAAAATTATATTTGACTTACTATTCAACTTGCTATTCAATACTTTAATCTGAATTCGCAGATATTTATGTTCATGAAGTCATGTTAGTGTTGAATAGAAAATTAAATAGTATTCTAATCATAGTATATTTTATTATATCAAACCTAAACATGTTCACGAACTTCTGACTGAACTCTAACTAATTCTAATATTTAAGTTCAGTATCAATTTAAATTCATAGATTTTGGGTTTGGTTCAAGTTTAAGTTTAAAATTTTTAAAATTTATAGTTCAGATTCAGGTTTAGCTGAACATAAACCTGAACCTATTCGAACCAGACTCTAATCTAGAAATACTATACTATTCTAACTTATAGATATATTAGAGAAATATTAGAATTCTTACAATCTAAGGCTTATAATCTATTTGCTTTTACTACAAAATATTTTAATACTATATCCAAAAAACTATAGCTCATCAACTATTATAATGATGATATTATTATAAAAAAAGTATGAAGATTTAATAAATCTTCTAATCAAATATCTATTATTTACTAGCAAGTAAACTATAACTCAACAACTACAAAATACTATTTTTTACAACAAATCAACTGCAAGCTATATCTAGGATATGAACTAAACTCAAACAGAATTGCAAACTACTATACAACAAATATTTCTGCTTTACTGTCAACAAAATTCTAGAGTAAAAAAATTAAAAATAATCCTCTTAACCAACTTAATTTTAATACTAATTATATTTACTTAATATATTCTATTGCAATTTGATACCTACTCAACATTCCTCTACTACCTACAATTCTACTTCCTAACTCTCTAATTTTTAATATCTTTAAAGAAAATATATTATCACTTCAACTTCAACAAATTGCTAATACTAATTTTAATTCTCAACAACTTAGATTTTATACTGATGACTCTGTAAAAGATATTACTACAAACTAATATTTATCAGATATTAGGTGAATACAAGTTGATAATAATAATATTATTATATACTCTTACTCTGCACAAATCCAATACTAATTCTATCCTACAAAGCTAAACTTGTTTATACTATTAGTGATTAGTATAGTACCTATAAACTGCTAAACTAATATCTATACTAACTTACTATTAGTAATAAACAAATTTAACAAAACTATATAACAAAACCCTAACTCTAACAAACCTTCATCCTTTCACTACTAGCCAATTTAGCAAATACCATTTAAACTTATTAAAACCTTTAACCTATCTATTAGTTTATATTTAGTTCAAATACATAGTGATAATAAACTCAATAACAAATTTGACCAACTTGCTAACTGCTACTCTACACTACTATATCTCTAATTCAATCATCTAAACTTCTATATAGGATTACATATATTCTAGTAGGATAATTATTTTATTAAATAACAAATATGTCAATTTGTCAAAAGTATATATAATGCTTATAATATTGCTATATAGGTCTTTTAAAAAAATATCTCTATTTAAACACAATATATTGCACAAATTAACTGGCTATTAACATAGCTTCTTCTTAATAATAATACCTTTCTATCCTCAAACTATTCTAACTTTTTTTTTTAACAAAACTAATTATAATTGATTAGGTATTGATCTTGTTGCTATGAACGTCAATGACCTAATTGTACAGGGTGCCGAACCACTATTTTTCCTTGATTATTATGCATGTGGCAAATTAAATGTTGATGTTGCAAAAGATGTAGTAGAAGGCATTGCAACAGGATGCTTAGAGTCCAGATGCGCATTGATTGGTGGTGAAACATCAGAGATGCCCGGAGTTTACAGTGAAGGTCAGTAATTTAGATATTGTAGATATTATTTATGGCATTTTACTAATTTGATATAAATATAGGCGATTACGATTTAGCGGGATTTGCAGTTGGGGCAGTAGAACGCGGAAATATATTACCACGAAAATCAGATATAAATGTTAATGACATTCTTATCGGTATTGCATCTTCGGGTATTCATTCTAATGGTTTTTCGTTAGTTCGTAAAATTGTTGAGAAGCATAATCTTGGATATGAATCACCTTGTCCATGGAATACAAAAATTACACTTGGTGAAGATCTACTTACACCAACAAAAATTTATGTCAAACAATTATTACCATTAGTCAAGAAAGGTCTTGTCAAAGCAATGGCACATATCACGGGTGGAGGTTTTGTGGATAATATACCTAGAGTCATTCCTGAACACCTTGGAGCTGTTATAGATTCATCATCATGGAAAATACCCGAAGTATTCAAATGGCTAGCGAAAAATGGCAATGTACCTTCTGGTATATATTTAAAGTTTGCAAATTTTGTTCGATACATAAATTGAAAATTTTTTTTAATATATCACTATTAATAAATAGATGAGTTATTCCGAACCTTTAATTGCGGAATAGGAATGGTCTTGATCGTATCGCCCGAAGACGAAATTAATGTTATAAATTTGCTTAAAGAATATGATACCGATGTTTACAAAATTGGTCACGTGGCGACAATAGAAATGAATAACGGGAAACAAGTCGTTATTAATGGAATTACGGAATTATTTTAGATAGCATTTTATATTGTAAAATGATATTCTATGAATACTGTATATGTATATACTCCATGAATATTTGTCCATTTGAGATTTTTGATGTCACTTTAGTTTTTATCGAATTCAATATAGTTATTGGAAAATTATAAAGGTCATGTCATGGACAAGTGTTAAAGTTAAAATTTTCCTGCACTTTCTTGTTAGAATTCATGTTTATATAATGCATTATGTTAAAATTGTCAAAGGATTTTAATGAAACAATAAACCTTTTATATAAATTTTAAAATGGATAGAATTTATCACCATGAAAATATTTAACCAATCCACTTTTATTTAATAGTCATAAAAACATGGTAAAAATCAGAATACTTATATGTATTAATAATTTGTTAAAGGAATGGGATCATATGCTCTTAAGATGTTGGATAATTTCAAAAATAAAGATTATCTAAAACTTTATTTTAATTTAAAGCATGAAATTAAAGATTGAGTTTGTGATTGGATAATTAGCAAAATTTAAGTCTAAAATTTAAGTAATAATTTTTTTTGAGTTAAAAATATAGTTTATAAGCCATACAAAATTAATTTGTCTGTGAAATTTTAAAACAGATCTGGTCGATTGACTTTTTTAAAACAATATATACTGTAAAACTTTTATAGCTAATATAATTAATTAATTTTTTAATTCGGTGGATCTATATCGATATTTTACTCTATCTATAGTGCTATTATAATCTTTGTAAAGAAGATACATTCAAAATAGTTGAAAAATTTAGTAGGCTAACTAGCTCGATTTACATTTTTTAAATACAGTTAAGATGCAAAAACAGTTTTTGTCATAAGTTTTTATATAAACTAAACACACTGGACACTGGACAAGCATTAAACCGGAAACTTAAAAGTTGGCATTGTTAATATCTGAAGTAACGGAAACAAAGGAACACAACCAATGGAAAAAAAAGTCGTTGAAGAGCGAGAAATACGTATGGAGCAAAATAAAATAGATGTAAATATTTTTACTACAAAAATTTTTTATTAATTTGTAGCACGTGTTAACAAAATTTTAATATTAAATAAATTGATATGAAAGACAATTTTCTAGACTAAAAGAATATCAATTTTTTTAATAATATCATTAGAAAGACATTTTTTTAATAATATTATCAGAAAGACATTTTGTGACACAGAAGCTTCATAAAATTTCTTTAAGAGTTGCATGATTCCTTTAATTAGATTGAAATTCATTTATTTATATTAATTTACTTCCAGATCGTGCAGTTTACTATCTATAAAAAGATAAATGATATTATATAACTTTGAATAATAATTAATAAATTTTATTAATAAATTTTGTAATTACCATTATATAAAATAAGCTTGCTTTTATAACTTGTTTCAATATATGCTTGCATATCGATATGTTTACTCGTAATGCTTTGTATTTTCTTATCATACTCGGTTAATTCCAATAAAATATCCTCATTATTT